GCTACTGTGTAAACAAGCATCTCACCAACTGTAGTATTTGTAGTACATCACACAAATCTGTGCCATGGAAAAACTCTTTAATAACCTTGACCCTCTATCCTTGTATTTTCTCAAACTGGTGCTGGGAAGTAAACACAGTTTAAATTGGAGCCTGTGAGGGGAAGCAAGAAGGAAGAGCCCTCAAGGTGGCCTTAACTTCCACTGGGTGACATATCCTCATTTTAGGCTATTTTACAGAAAAAATGTCCTAAAATGGTTGATCTTCAAGAAGCCCAGTCAAAACTGTCCTGAGAAAAAAAATAAAATCATTTAGTGACAGTTAAGTTTGCAGTCAGACACACTCCCTACAACATGATAAGACTCTGTCTGTTCTCTACAACTTCACGCTGCACACAGTGCTGCTGAAAACCCTATCCAGTGCTCCATAAAGCTTTCACTTTCATCTCCAGCCGGCACGCAAACAGAATACACGCTCTGACTTATTCAAGCTTGCACTCAGTGCAAAGCCATAACAGTGATCTCATCGGCTCTCACATGGGTGATACCACGAGATCAGCATATCTGACTGTCTCACGCACCATGCCCTAGGGAAATTATTTTCCTTTAATACTTCTGAGGTCACCACTACTACTTCTGCACCAAAATAAATAAACCCTGTTATCCTGGGCATAACAGCACAGCAGGGAATGGCTAGAAAGGGATTCCGGACAAGAAAGATGCCAAATATGAAAGCCACAATAGCCCGTTTACAGCCGAGCACGGACTGTGCTTGGATGTCGCTAAGCCCCGGGCTCTGCCAGAGTCGAGAAGCACACAACGCAAGGTGGCGGGGTGGGGAGAAGCAGGCTTGGACCACGATGGAGAAAACAGCAGTATCACCACCTCTGCACAGCACTCCCCGTTCAGCCGTGTCAGCCTGGTCCACTGCGCTATGCTTTTCACCAGAGCCACAGCAGAGACTGACTACGAGGATTAACATGATGAGTGTTTTACCCCAGTGAAGACCCTTTTCCTTACATGTGCTTCTTGTGGTGGCTCTGTTTCTCGATGGCAAAGGAACACTAAATTTATGCTCTGACACAGATTGCCCTTGTCCAAGCTGATATAGTTGTAGCCAGCTTCCCATAGTCCTGCGATAACGTTTTATCTTAGCTGGTAGTAAACTGCCTGCACTGAAGGGAAGATGCTCACAGAGTCAAGTCTTCCTGCTGCACAGTAAAAACTCTTTCTTCAACCCCTTGCCTAGAAACAAAAACGAATCCTGGCCTGTCATATTTAGCAAATAGGATAAGTTCTATATTATTAAGCAGGTTCTCTTACAGCTGAAATACGCTTGGTCCTTATGCTGAAAATGTACTCATCAGGATCAAACATTTTGTGTTTAAGAGAACTTTAAAAAACTTTCAGAAGCTTCAGAATGCACAAAAAATAGTCTTCACAAAGCTTTGTTTTACATTGTAATATGAACAGATAACTTGCCCAAGAATGCTACCATCTGCTGTTGGTAAAAGTGAACTGATGCTCTTTACCATTGTGAGAAAAAGTGGTGGTTTGAATTAAAAATCTTTTATTATCTGCTAGCTTAAATCAGCTTAGGTCTCGAAATGATTCCATAAAGTATATAGATTGTGTCAACGGTATTCCTCAAAGATAGCAAAAAAAAAGATAGTTAAATAGTTAACAATATTTACAAAAGGATTAAGCAAAGAAAAAAAAAAAGTAGATTGAGCAGCAGTTTCAGCCAACTCCCTTACACAAAGAAAGAGCATAAAGAGGTAGCACATCCTCCCAAAAAGAACAGTGAAGATAATCTGGGCTTTAGATGACTTAGCATTCTGAAGAAGGCATAAAGATGGTTCCCCAAACTGAATATTCAGCCTGAAGTCATTCCCAACCATCCCATCTCCTGGTATTTGATTGTATCCTGCACTTCTTGCTTCAGAAAACCACCAGTGAGTGACAAATGGAGGCCACACTTGAGTTTTTCAACAGCTTATTAACTCTAATTCGACATCTTTTTCCTTTTAGTCCTTCCTCTTCTCACAACATGACAGAGTGACACTGAAAAAATCCCCAAACTCTGACAATTAGATATCTGTATGAAAAAGCAGAGTTTATTGCTACTCAGTTTTTCAAAAGGGTAGCATCCTTGGTCCCACCACCTCTGGCATCAATCTGTGACTTACGAGCATGTGATAGAGGTAAAATCTGTGAACACTCCGAATTCCCTGTAATCTCTTCTCCATTCTTCTTGAACAGGTGGAAAGGTTCTTTCTTCCCCCACAGATCCAGCAGATGTAAAGGGAGAGGCTTTCGCTACACAACCCAGACATCAGCTTCTGGGTTGATATAAAGGCTGTGAGGACACTTTGTCAGTGAAGTCCTCTTCCTAGCTTGTCTCCTTGTTCTTCTAATTACCAAGGGTTGTTTCATACACAGCCTGAAGCAACAGCTGTGCCAAGGTGGTGTAAATCTTACTATAATCCACAGAATTTTGAATGGCAACTCATGCTACTCCTTCACTGGGTTCTGAGAACGGCACGTGCACTAAGGCTGCATGTCTGCACATTCAGAAAGAATTGCTTTGGTTTCCATTTAGCAGGGTGTTTTTGAAAACTGAGCACTGTCACTTATTTGTTTACCTCTAATTCAGGAAACTGAAGTTCATTATTACACAGGTCCTTCAGCACCGAAAGTCCACAGGTATGATATCACACAAAACAGCTGTGTCCAAAGTAGGAATATTTTAATAAGCTTGCTGTGTGTATCTTTCTTACCCTAAACAAAAGGCATGAAACTGCAAGAATGCCATGTTGTTTATTCAAAACCTGAAAGATAGGAACATGTCACACACCGATAGGAAAAACACAAAAGAACAAGAAATTAAAAGAAATCCTGAGCCAAAACCCATTAAGCAGGAACCTCTAAAAAGGGAAAAGGCTGAGACAGGGAAGAAGAGCTGTTGAGCATCAGGGAAAACACTCAGAAAGCATCAGATCTGACTCAGTCAAATCCTAAATTCCAAATCCTGTACATAATGGCATCCCCATGCGGCTTTAATATATACTCAAGGTTAAATCACTGACATAGCAGCTCTGAGGAGGAAGTACCGGACAGCTGCCAATAAAAATATAAGGGTTATCAAAGCCCTGAATGGTTTCAGAATTGGTAATGGGCTACAGAGACTTTTCATTGCCAGGTCACCAGTTCAGACTTGGCCTGGGCTGGCGGTAGCCAGAACTCATTACTGCACAATGGCTGTATGTGCAATTGTCAGGTTTCGCACAAAGTGCTGTTAATTAGTGCCCTCGCTGGCAGTCACTGCAGATGAGTCCAGAACTGAAGATGGTGGTTTATCTTGTCGCCGTAGGGGACAGTCCTGTAGGTCAGCTCTGAAGCCAGGAAGAGCAGGAAACCCGTGCTTCAGCTGCTCACGGCATGCCCCGAGAGAGGGCTGTGTGTCTGCACTACAATGAATCCCACGTCCTTCTCAAACACAGTCAAAAGTGCGAGAAAGAATGAAGTTTGTGCTGCATCAGCTTCATGAGCATATTTACTACCTGCTGCAGTCATCTGGTAGAATGATGATATTCTATGTGCAGTGAAATGTATCCTGAGCAAAATATTAGGGTAGCAATACTAGCCTTCAGCTAGCCTCATCCATGAGCCAGTTACATGAAAAATATAAAGTCCTACTGGGACTTCATGAAAAAAAACAAACCAAAACAAAACCCCTACACTTTAAATAGTATAAAAAAGTCTGCCCACTTTTAGTTTACAATTAATCTTTTTCCAATCAGTCATGTAGCAACACATTTTAGAAAGTAATGTGTGAAAGTTTCAAGTTCATTCTCACAATTACTCACTGGAATTGTACAGCAAGAACCCATCCGTGGGTTGCCCACAACTCTTCTGGACAGTAATACACTGACACACAGTTTATCTGAAATCAACAGCATTATTTTATTGTATCTATCTATGATCTTGCATCTATCTATCTATGAGGCTGATTCATAAGGTCTTTTAAGGTCCCTTCCAACCCAAACCATTCTGTGATGCTATGATTCTATGATAACGCTGTTCAGCATCATACTCTATAGTTCATCATACATCTCCACATCCCTCTAAGTCTGAGCCAACTTCCATGGGAAATAAAATTTTTACATGCCGCGACTAGCTCCAGTGAATCGGAAAGCTCAAAATGTTGCTTCATTTCTTTTGTGTACGAAGACCTCTTTACTTCAAGAAAGATTTGTAAGGATGCTCTGTACCCACTTCTGTACTCCTCCCATACAAAACCATGCAAGAGAAAGATGAGAAATGTTTCACTGGGTAGTTTGAAATTGAATGTAAGTTTTGTTTAGGAAGGATACACAAGATTGAATGTGATTGAGCACTGGCATCACAGCAGCTCTCTATCCTCTAGCTGCTCAACTATAACCATCCATGCACAGCTGATGAGCTGCCTCGGTTGTGAGGCTAAACTAGTGAGCTTAAACCTCTTTCATTGAGGTTTATGTCAGACAGTGTGCCCAACCCCTCATCAACAACAACTAAAAATGAATGCTATCGACTCCCAGAGGACTGAAAAGCATTTCAGTTGAGCAGCAGTTTTTTCCGACGTGGTGTAAGAAGGCCTCTTCCCAAAAAGTCCATCAGGGATGTGAAGGCTTGATCAACTGTCCTTCACCTGTCCTGTCACCAT